CACTCAGTCCCCATCTGACTGTGGGGTCTGGGATCCCTCTCCATTCCATTCTGTCTCTGCTATGGGGCCTGGGGTCCCTCTCCATCCCCCTCTCCATCCCCCTCTGGCTCCACTCAGTCCCCATCTGACTGTGGGGTCTGGGATCCCTCTCCATTCCCTTCTGTCTCTGCTGTGGGGCCTTGGGTCCCTCTCCATCCCCCTCTCCATCCCCCTCTGGCTCCTCTATGGGCTCTGGGTTCCCTCCCCCCCCTTCCCCAATTCTCCATCCCCATTCCACCGTCACCCCTCAGCCATCAACCGAGCTCTGGACCGCCTGCGTCGGGAATTCGAGTTCAACATTTCGGCTTCGCATCACTTCGACGTGAGCCTCAACTCCAGCAAAACCCTGGCAGACGTGGCTGCGGACATCATGGAGGCGGTGGGCCGTCGCCTGCATCCCGCCCGGCAGCTGCTGGGGCTTTCAGCCTACATCTCCTCCTGCGCCATCCTCTATTTGTACCTGCAGTGAGTGCGCCGGGGGCTCGGCTTTGGGATTTAGGGGAGGGGGTTTTTTTGGGGGGGGGGGGCAGAGGGCTCCCCATCATCCCAACCTCACCCCGCAGGGCTCTGCGTTACCGTTACCGCTACCTGAGGGACGACGCCTTCGACAACATTTACATCACGGGCCGCTTCATCGCCATGGACGCGCGGCGGGCGCAGATGGGCCGCCCCACTGTGCTGCCCCTGGGCTGGAGGGAGAGCGGCCGCTACGTCCAACCTGGTGAGTGGGAGGAGGGGGGAGGGCGGGGGGCCTGCAGGGACATCAATGGTGCTGTCATCGTGACCCCAGGAGGGATGGGGGTCCCCTTATGGCACCACTGATGCTGTCCCCATGACCCTAAGAGGGATGGGGGTCCCCTTATGGCACCACTGATGCTGTCCCCATGACCCTAAGAGGGATGGAGGTCCCCATATGGCATTGCTCACACTGATCCCAGGACCCCAGGAGGGATGGGGGTCCCCTTGTGGCACCGCTGATGCTGTCCCCATGACC